TATACACCCGAACCGATATTGGTTCCAGGATGCAAAATGCATTTTTATTTTCTCAAGCCTCCACATTTTTTTTTCTGTTTTTGATATTAATTATCTAATAAAAAATAATTATTTTTAATCCCCTATCTTACTCAACACATATATTATACTATTTAAATTTAAAATTTTTTAATTTCAATAAAAAAATATAACAACTAAATTATTTAAATAATTATCTCCCTTTCACATGTTCTCTTTCGTGTAATTAGTTTAGAAATTCAAGTGGCATATTGGTAATTCCAGCAAAATAGGAGCATACCCCGATTACCCACCATACGGCAACAATCATCGTCTTCATTCCTGGATGCTTTTAACATTTCGAATTTTTTCAGTCTTCGGAGAAACCAGAGATCCAATTCCCAACAATGGTAAGCTTCAATTTCCCCCTCTTTACATTTCAGACCTGCTGTCGCTTCCTTCATTCCTTTATTGCCCACTGATGTACGATCCAAATCTATATTGTTAATCGTGAATCATTAAATCTTGAAAAATGCGGAGCAATTTGATTGATTTTCCTTTTTCCTGTTTCTGGATTGAAATTGTTTGTAATTCTAAGTTGGTGATCTGTGTTGTTACACTGTTGGAATTAGGGTTCTAATTCTCAGTTATAATTTTTTCCTTGTGCAAACTTAGAATGTTTTTGCTAGGGTTTGTATGTTGTGATACCTGAAATGCCTTTTTTGTAGTGTAAGATTCTTCATACTCTAGAAGGTGGTTAGAAGTTTGAATTTTTCCGGGGATTATATGTATTATATAATTCACTTGATTGATTACTTTGAATTAACCAAGAGATAATCCTCTTCCCTTTACTTAGCCGATTTCTTTGAGGGGTGGGTATAGTGTCTTACAACAGGAAGAGGTCATCAGTCATGGTATAGTGTTAAAAAATATTGAAGAAATAGTCAAACTTTTTTTGTCTTGGAAAATTTTTGTTTTGATATGCTCTGATTGCTATTTTATCTTCACAGGACGGCCAAGGTTCAGATGATTCAAAGCAAAGCACTGCTGACATGACAGCTTTTGTGAGTTTTTTTTCACCTTTTCAAAACTTGAATAATTCCTTAGGTTGTGCTCTTAGTCCAAATAACCACTATAGTTTGGATCAGATTAACAAGTTGGTGGATATAGTCTGAAATGCTTGCATCTAGTTGACTACGGTGATTGTTTGTTTATTCTTGTCTCACTACTTGGTGATAACTTCTTTTTCATGATTTTTGCAGGTGCAAAACCTTCTTCAACAAATGGTGAGTTGCTAATTGGACCCTATTTTCTAAGAATTATTTGTTGTTACTGACAGAGATTTTTATTTATAGCAATCTAGGTTTCAAACAATGTCGGACTCCATTATCACAAAAAATATCCTTTGCCTATGAGCTTTAACTTCTTTGCAAAGTGTTTTTACTTTTAAGATACAAACATCATTGAGACAACAACCTTTAAAGTGTGGGTTCTCCCAAACTTGTTTGCTAGCAAAGCTCATTTATTGTTCTTGCACCAACTATTTGTTCTTTCTAGCAAATGAGCTGAAAGTAGAATTGATTGATCACTGATGCTGGGAGGTTCTCGTACTTTGTGTAAAATTAATTAATTATCAAACACTTTTGCCTCATAAGGACATTTTGTGGGAAAATAATTAGAATGTATCAGTATCTCTCATCATGTTTTTGGTTGCCAAATTTATGAGGTTTCGGAATTTTCTTATGTCTGTATGTTATCTGTATTTTAGTGAAATGTAACTATTTCTCTTAGCACCAAAAGATTTACAATTTCAAAGATGACTTCTTTTCCTTGACTTCAATGCACTTGATGAAATGGGAACCCGCATAAATGAGCTGGAGCAGAGCATCAATGACCTTAAAGCAGAGATGGGAGTGGATGGTTCTCCGTCTCCTTTACCCCCGTCTAAGCAAAGCCCAGCTGAAGCAAAGAAAGAGGAAGGCTCAGCATAAAGCTTAGCCTAAGGGCACTTTTAGGATGGGATGGTGACTCTGATTTCATGAACAGCTTACGTTTTGCTAGAGTATTCTTCAATGATCACAACATATGATATCATGCATGTTCTTTTCTTTCCCACTTTGATTGATGTATCATGCATTTGAAATTCCTGGCTTGTCTCTCTAATTTTTATGCTTTCAATTTCTGTTATCGAGATGTCAGGTTAGGGGTTCATGATATATTATAGATCAAACTCACAAATTCAAGGTGATTAGTCATGAAATATGATCTATTCTTGGTTTTTATCCATTGAGAGATAGATTATCTTCTATGTTGATCATTTTAATTCCATCATTTATCGACGCTGTGCCCTTGCTGACATTTTGCAACAATTGCCCATTTTCCTGGTGCTAGGATAAGCAGCTGTAAATTGAAGATTTTCTTTGAGTCTGTTTTTCTTGCTAAACTAGCCATTCAAAACTTTAAATACATGCTTTGAAATTTAAATTAGAAAATAGAAACCCCAGACATGGTAATATATTCTAATAAATCCACTTTATTTCTATACATAAGAAATAAGATGACAAACCAGGACAGGACAGTACAGAACAGAACAGAACAGAACAACCTTAACTACGGCATTGGGTAATGGCACTGCAACCTCGAGTGTAAGGGTTAGCCTGAGCCCCCGGCTGGCAGTTGTAGTAAGACGCTCCTCTCTGAGAGCAGGGTACTGTGTTCCTCTGCAGAGCTCCGTAGCTTATGTAAGTTGTTGTTGTCTGCAGTATCCGGCGGCTGATCTCTGAGTGCATCAAGAATTCATCATCATAGCCCATGCAGTCGGCCATTGAACCCTCGCAGCGACCCTTAGTCAGGACCCAGTTCAGGCTTAGGTCGCCGCCTGCTTCGACAGGGGAGGAGGAGATGATGAGAGCCGTAAGGAAGAGGGAAGCCGCAAGGAGAAAGTTGAAGGAGTTAGCCATGGCTGTTGTTTCTCAAAGCTGCAATGCATTTTGAATTTGCAGACGTTAGTTTTATAGTAGAAAGGATTAGTGTTGGAAGAATGACATTGGCTTTTGCCAATATTATCAAAATGCCATTATACACTCAATGGTTTAACTAAAGGTCAATGAAAATAGTTTCTTGTAGATTCCTTTGTCTCTATCATTCTTCAGACTATTTTTCATGGTGCATAAATAAGAATAAGAAATAGATACATTAATTGTATAACAAAAAATATAATACAATTTAAATTATATTAAATTATACTATATTAATAATTATATGAGTCGAATCTCTTAATATTAAAATTTTTACCTTTATTTTATGATTTTTATTTTATAATTTAATATAATTCAAATGATAAAATAAAATTCTTATTATATGATAAACCCATAAAAAAGAGATTACATGAATGTTGGACGACTTAAAGAACTTAATTATTATTTTTTTTTTGTACAACGGGAATTGGGAGATAAAGGGGAGAGGAAGGGGTCTAGGGATTTGAAATCAATAGGGTGGGTGAAACACTCACTTAATAATTACATGAATCACACGCAACAAAGTTTAAAGAATTTAATTATAATTTTTTGAATGAAAATAAAAAATTTTAATTTGAATAATATGACGTTATGGTAAAGTCAGGAAAGAGACAAAAAAACAAGATTATCTTTCGTCATGGAAAACCCAAAATCCAAAGAAAAAGATAGTTTTCATGGGATTGGAAAATGGCAATTGTGTAAATAGAAAGATAGTGAGGGGTATATGTGTAAACCTCATATCAATATGAAAAGCAAGTGAGTTGACCAACAATTTTCAACAGTCCAGATCGACCGTCTCAGTCTTTGCAACTAATCACAATCAGAAAAATATTTCAGATTATGTTAAAAATAAAAATAAAAATAAAATAAACATAAAAGAAGAACCTAACACAAGAAAAGGGCGGAAAATAATATTTATTTAATCCCTCTTTAATTCTTCGAGCAACCTCATTAGGGTGACGACTAAACGTTATTACAAATTCAAACCCCATCCCGATTGCAATAAAGAAAGAAGAAATTCATGTATCTGACCTCTTCCAAACCTAACAAGAAGACAGTGATTATGGGATTGAAATCAACATTTAATTATAATATAATTATTCATTTTAAGGAAAGCACTTGCTAGTTAAATTTTTAAAAAAATTAAAAGAAAAAATATTTTAAAATTATATCATTTTAATAAATTTTTATTAAAAATTTAAAATAATTTCTTTTTTTTTATGTGACCTATTTTTAAATCAAGAACGATTTTGTTTTGATTTTTTTTTCTCATAATACTTTAATGAAACAAAATAGTTTTAAGAAATATATATTTTTAATTTTATTTAAGATTTGATTAATAAATACTACTTTCTTTATTTTAATCATACATAATTTTTATTGTTAGTGTCAATATAAACATGAGAAAAAAAGATGGGTAAAGATTCTTTTTTGCGGATAAGAAGTTAGATAGAATATTAAATTAAAAATTTATAATTAATGGGTATCAACTTAATTATGTTATTAATAAACTTAATTATGTTATTAGTAAATGGGGCGGAGATGGGATTGGATTTGGTGGTGTGGTGAAGAAGGGATGCTTTCTTTCTACTTAAGAATAAATGAAGACCTAACCATCCA